ACACGCACCTGGCATGAGTTTTAAGCCACCGGGTCCAGGACACAAACCACGGTCGACTCCATGGGAATCCAGAGACATAGCCATTACGCTAACTGCTGATCCCTACCTAGTGTATTTTTGAAGCCATGATGTCTGAGACTTGAATTGCAGTCAACTCTGTAGGATCCAGTTGCCTCATCACTGCATTACCTGGCTGACTTACCAAGGAGTTTTTTTTTTTTAAATCATAGATAGGTGTTTTTTTCCTAGTTAAGGTGGAATTCATATACTACAAAATTAGCCATTTTAAGGTGTACAACTCAGTGGCATTTACTACATTCATGTAGTTGTGCAACTACCACCCTTATCTAGTTCCAAAACATTTTCATCACTCCAGAAGAAAGTCGAAGCCTTGCCAGAGGGTGGCGCAACAGTAAGATGTGACACTCCAGGCCGCCCATATGGAAAGGTTCTGGGTTCACACCTGGAGACCTCTCTGAACACACCAGGTTTGCATACATGTGCCCCTCACCTAGGGGTGGTTGAAGCTAGGGTGTACTGCAGTGTGAAGGCTATGTTGGAGGTGCCTGCCTGTCTCTGTCTCTTTCTCTTTCTCATCTCTCATTCATGGAAGAAAGAAACTTAAAAAAAAAAAAAAAAAAAAAAAAGAGACCAGCAGATAGCATAATAGTTGTATTGCTGGACTTCCATGTAGTCGTGATTTGATCCTGGACCCAGCTGCTTAAACTCATGCCAGGCCCATGTCCATGCATGCATGCCCAAAGTCGTGAGGATGGAGGAGAAGGGATTGTGGGTGGCATGGCCATTCCTCTTTGGGGGGTGATTTATCGCTTTCTGTCTCTCTCTCTCTCCGGCGAGCACACACATCCTATAGCAAAAAACCTATGCAATGAATGAATATATAATAACTTTTAACAAAGATGGAACACTAGAAAAAATAAATAAACCTATTAAGCAACTATCTACTTTCTCTTTCTTTCAGATTATGGCAAACACCAATCTACTTTCTCTGTGGATTTACCTGTTCTAGATATTTCATATAAATGGAATCATTTAATATGTGACCTTTTATATTTGGCCTCTTTCACTTAGTATTTTTTTTAAAGAATTATTTTATTTAACTTTATTTATTTTAATTTGACTAGGGAGAAACAGAGTGAGCGAGGAGAGAGAGAGTGTGAGAAAGCAAGCTGCCAGGTCTGGGACTCGAACTGCAGTCAGCCATGTGGGAGTCCAGCACCTTAACCACCACACCACCTGCCAGCCCTCACTTAGTATATTTTTAAGGTTCATTCTCATTTTAGCATATCTTAATACCTCAGTGTACAAATACATGCTCCTTTCTTATAACTAGCATGTTAATTGAGCTTTAAAGTAACAACTAGCTGGGGCTAACAGATGGCATAGTGATTATGTCACTGGATTCCCACATGGACAACCACAGTTCGAGTCCTAGACTCAGTGGCTGGAAAATGGAGGAGAAGGGATTGCAGCATGGCCATACCCCCTTGAAGGTGATTTCTCACTTTCCCTCTCGCTGTCTCTCTCACCTCCCGTGAGTGCACACACCTTAAGGCAAACGTCTCTCTTTTTTTGGAGAGGTTTTTGCTATAGGGTACATGCACTTGCCAGAAAGACAGAGACAGACAGAGAGCAGAAAGCAAGAAATCACCCTCCAGAGGGGATGGCCATAGCACAGTCCCTTCTCTATTCTTCTCTTGGGATCTTGGGCACGCACACACACGCACCAAAGTGAGTTTAAGCCACTGGGTCTGGACTCAAACTGCGGTCAACTACATGGGAGTCCAGTGACAGCCATTACGCTATCTGCTGGTCCCTAGTCCATTTACATTTATCTTAATTGTATATTTGGGTTTTAATCTACCACCTCACTATTCTTCAAGTCTTCCTTGCTTTGTTGTGTTTCTCTGATACATTAAACAGAATTTACCTGTATTTAGTTCAGTTCTGTTAATCTTGGCAGGAGGTTGTTCTGCTAATACTGATATGGAAAGATACATTTTTTTTTAACAGTCTTTTTTCTCTCCTGTTCAGGGACTGCCCAGGAGTTCAAGAAACATTTTGAGTTGCCGATTTTAAAGGGTCGAGATGCAGCTGCCAGTGAGGCAGAGAGGCAGCTGGGAGAGGAGCGGCTGCGGGAGCTCACCAGCATCGTGAATCGGTAATGACCCCAAGGGAGGTCCGAGGAGCCCCCCATGCAGTCCTAGGCCAGTCCTTTGGGGCCTTGACCTGTCTAGAGTCTTCTAGAGCTGGGCTTCCGGGAAAGGAACAGGGCCTCTGTCTTCTTTGTGGCCACTGAATAAATAAAGGATTCTTGGAGGCTAAATCCCTGCTTTGTTTTTGCCTGTGCTCTGTACTCTGGTTTTGGTCTGTTTACCAGTCTGCTGAGGAAGCTCTTCTCTGCTGCTGGACATCCTGAGCAAAATGTACCCTGGGGCATTGTTAGTATTTCAGAAGTGGCCTGCCGGTCAGTCTTAAAGCATCAGCTTCCCCTTCCTATCCTGTTCCCTTCTCTTCCTGTCTTAGTTGTTCTGGAATGGGTACAAGGATGGGTGTGGCAACCAGACTAAGAGGACGTATTTTCCATGTGGGAGTCACATAACCCAGGGTACAGGAATGTTCTAGACTCCTCTGTTGTTAGGTATGCACACTTGGTGGGCTGCACCCTAAAAAGAGTCCTACTGCTCATCAACCTCTGCCTAGGGGTTTGGATGGCAGGAAGGAGGGGCAGTATGTCCTGAGGGCCTGCTTTTTAGGTACCTGATCCTGTTCTTCCTGATCCACCCAGGATGTGTATGGGCTTAATTCCTTTGAGCCTGGGGCTGTGAGACATTAGGCATTTGGGTATAGGCAAGCAGAAACTCTCCCTAAACAATCTCGCGGTCTGTAGCTTGCTTTCCCTGTCAGAGCTCCAGGCTCAATGGGAGACCCCAGCCTTCTGAAAATCAGCCAGCCTATTGAAGGGGAAGAGAAGAGTTGTTAGTCTAAGCTAGGCTGTTTGGAAGGCCTCTGTTGCATGACTTGAGACCCTGGTACAGATATCTCTGCCAGAGGGGAGATGGGCCTCTGACGTCTGATACTTCAAAAGATAGCCGGTCTTGGTCCTCTGAGCATAGCTTTATCCCAGTCTTCCCCCACTTACCTTTCTATCCTGTTATCCCTAGGTGCCTGATACGGAGAACATCTGATATCCTTTCTAAATATCTGCCTGTGAAGATTGAGCAGGTGGTTTGTTGCAGGTACTGAACTCAGATGAAGGGTGTGGAGCGAGTGGGTAAAAGCTTAGCCCTGAAGCATGGCTAGATTCTCAAGATTTCCTAAGAGGTAGAGTGTGGTTCAGCTTTTCCCAACCCTGTTGCCTTTTTTTCAGGCTAACATCCCTGCAGACTGAGTTATACAAGAGGTTTCTGAGACAGGCCAAGCCGGCAGAAGAGTTACGTGAGGGCAAGATGAGTGTGTCTTCCCTTTCTTCTATCACCTCGCTAAAGAAGCTTTGTAATCGTGAGTTGGGCCCGTGTTCTGGTCTCTTCTCTGAGAGTGAGCAAGTGCGGGTAGGCTCCTCTAGATATACCAGTGACCTTCAGTAAAACTTACCCAGGTCCTCAAGAGGCCACATGCGATTCAAACCGTCTTCATTCTTCGAGGCATGAAGCTGCCTGTGGACCTTGTAACTAAATGCTGCTGTGGAAAATTTAGCTTATCTCCCGCCCAGCCCATGCTTGGTGCCTGGGATGTTTAGAACTGTCCTGTGAGTACTTGCATCTTGCATGCACATGTGCTCATATAAAATGTTGAGCAGAAGAAAAAAATAACAAAGAAACCTTGGTCTCTGGCATAGCTCCCTTCAAGAACACACTGGTGAACACGATTGTCCACCCACGGTCCCAGCTGACACTGACTGAAATTTAGGGAGGTGGAGACTGTGCCAGTCTGGTGCTGGGAAGGCCTTCTGGGCTAAGCTTCTAGAGGGAGTTCTAGTGAGCACTGAAGTGGAAATGTCAGAAAGCAAAGTAACTGCATTTCTGTTTTTTGGTTTTTTTTTTGTCTTTCAGATCCAGCTCTAATCTATGACAAGTGTGTGGAAGAAGAGAATGGTTTTGAGGGTGCCTTAAACATTTTCCCCCCTGGTTATAGCTCTAAGGCTCTAGAGCCCCAGCTGTCAGGTGAGATTTTTGCCACCAATATTTGGGCTCCTCTGTGAGGCAGTAGGAGGTGTCTGCTAGAGCTGTCCTATCTGAAGGCAGGAGATCAAGAGTAAGAATCCTAGGCCACTGGGACGGCCAGTTGGAGACTGATGGTTGCTCTTCCCAGGTAAGATGCTGGTCCTTGATTACATTCTGGCAGTGACCCGAAGCTGCAGCAGCGACAAAGTAGTGCTGGTGTCCAATTACACCCAGACACTAGATCTCTTTGAGAAGCTCTGCCGTGCCCGAAGGTAGGGGAGAGCCAAATCAGGCTGCCAAAGAGATGCGCCTCCTCTCCTACTGCCCCTCTAGGAAGATTAGACTGGTGGGTGTGGGCCAAGATATTGGGTACATAAAGGGCTTCCCTGAAGTTGTCTGTCCCTTCTGGCTGCAGTGGCCCTGGTTCCACGTCTTTCATTCTCTCCCATAGCCCCTAGCTCCCTGCCCTTCCCTTTCATGAGCAGCCTTCAGCATGGTGAGTGTGGTCTTGTGACTTGATCTTTGGATCCTCCCTTCAGGTACTTGTATGTCCGTCTGGATGGCACGATGTCCATTAAGAAGCGAGCCAAGGTTGTGGAACGCTTCAATAGTCCATCGGTAAATGCACAGCCACCTCCCCACAGCACCAGTGCAGTGACACCAGAATTAGGGTTGAGAAAGAAGCCGTGAAGGGACTCAGCTTCAGGGTGTCCCTGATTTTTGTTTTTTGTTTCCTGGTGGGTATGGTAGGGTTAGGTTGGTCAGTGATGGCTGGGCTGGAAACTGACATTTGTGGGTTGGGAAACGGGCTGGTATACAAACTGGTGTTTCTCACAATTGATCTGAATGTGAGTATATAGAGGTGTGAGAGGAGCCTTGGCAGGACTAAGCCAGATCCCAGTTTAAGCTGTAAGAAGTTATTTTTCTTACTTCCTCTTTGCAGAGCCCTGACTTTGTCTTCATGCTGAGCAGCAAAGCTGGGGGCTGTGGCCTCAATCTCATTGGGGCTAACCGGCTGGTCATGTTCGATCCTGACTGGAACCCAGCCAATGATGAGCAAGCCATGGCCCGGGTCTGGCGTGATGGTCAAAAGAAGACCTGCTATATCTACCGCCTGCTATCTGTAAGGATGGTGACAGTGGTTAGAGTGGAGATGGGTCATGGAACAATACCGTTGGGACCATCTTGAATTGTTTCTCGGTGCCTCTTTGGCCCCACCGCCTCTAGTTATGCTCTGGGCCTAGCCTTGAGCCCTTTGCTCTTCATTTCTCTGTATTCTCCCCACGCTATTCCTTCATATCCTTCCTACTATGCCCTCTGGGTGCTTGTTGACACTGTATCTGCTTTCTCTCATACCCAGTTTCTTCGGTGCCTCTTGCCTCATCTTTTCACATCCCATCACCCAGGGGACTAAAAAATGGTATTGGTATTCTTCAAGTTCTCTATTACCACTTTAAGACATCTCATCCCATAGATGTTCTTTTGGAATTCATGTTGTCCTACTTGACAGCCCTCTTTTCCTTGCTGCAGTCATCGCTCTGCTGCTGTGTTCCTAGTCATCAGTGCCTTGGGACACCAGCTCAGGTTTCATTATCCTGACTGATTTTGAGGACCATGCAGTTAGGTAGCCCTCTAGCCTTCATGTTTCCTTGACTTCATCTCTGATGGTCTCAACTCCCCCATCCGATTACTTCTAAGTCTATATAATGGAATTTACTAGTACAATAACTAGCATTTTTTTTTTTTTTTTTTTTTTGAAAAGAGGGTTTTTCTTTAGGGGGGGTTCGCCC